GGTTCAGTGCCGTAGGTGACTGGAAGATAATCTTAGGTGGGTTCAGTAACAGTCCTTGGTAGTGGGTGAGCCGTGCATTGCTAAGCCATCGATCAGGAGGTTGTTTAAGAGTTCCTTCTATGGCATGCGGGGTGGTGACATACAGTTCTTGTCCCAGTGTAAGTTTGCCCACATCTTTGACTAGTAATGCTGTTGCTGCTATTATGCATAAGCACGGGGGCCACCCCACCACCACTGGGTCTAATTTTTTTGAGAGATAGGCTACTGGTCTTTTCCAGGGGCCTAGGTGTTGAATTACAACTTCCTTCGCTATCCCCTTATTTTCATCAATATATAGATAGAAGCTCTGGTAGCATAGTGCCTAAGGCACTTGACTGTTAACCAGAAGGCTGGCGGTTCAAACCCACCAGCCACTCCTCAGAAGGAAGGTTGGGCATTCCTACTTCCGTAGTGATACTGCCTCGGAAACCCAAGGAGGGGTCTCTATGAGTCGGGGCCGACTCGATGGCAAATAACAACAACAACAACATAGATAGAAGGGTTTTGTCACATCAGGCAGTCCAAGGGCGGGAGCAGACAAAAGGGTATTTTTAAGCGAATTAAAGGATTTTTCCATGGCCTCTGTCCACTGAAACTTCTGCCGCTCCTTGGTTGCTTCATAGAGAGGTTTTGCTAATTCTGCAAAACCTGGTATCCAGAGTCTACAGTAGCCGGCTGATCCTAGGAACTCCCGCACCCCATGTGGGGTGTTGGGTCTAGGGATTTTTAGCACAGTCTCTTTGCAGGCCTTAGTCAGCCATCTTTGTCCCTCTCTTAACATATACCCTAAATAGCTTACCTCGGGTTGGCAAAGTTGAGCCTTTTTGGCTAAGGCTCTGTAACCCATGTCTCCTAATGTCTGGAGTAAGTCTCTGGTTCCTTGGAGGCAGGTCTCGTAGCCTGCTGCAGCAATTAGGAGATCATCTACATATTGTAACAGCGTGAGACTGGGGTGGTCGAATCGAAACTTACCCAGGTCTTCATGTAGTGCCTCGTCGAAGATTGTAGGCGAATTTTTGAAAATCGCGTCCAGGTTAGTTGTCCATTAACGCCTTCCGCGGGATCTGTCCATTCAAAGGCAAACAGGTCCTGGCTCTTTGGGGCTAACGGTAAGCTAAAAAATGCATCTTTTAGGTCCAAGACTGAGTACCACTGGTGATCTGGGGGTAGAGAACTTAGGAGGGTGTATGGGTTAGGAACAGTAGGATGAATGTCCATGACCCGTTTATTGACCTCCCGGAGGTCTTGTACTGGTGTATAATTGTTGGAATGAGGTTTTCGAACAGGGAGTAGAGGGGTGTTCCAAGCAGACTGACAGGGTCGGAGTATTCCTAATTTTAACAGGCACCGGATGTGAGGGGTTATGCCTTCCCGGGCTTCTCGTGACATAGGGTACTGACAGACCCTGACTGGGTCCGCTCCAGGTTTAATTTCCACATAAACTGGTGGCCTATGTCTAGCTAACCCTACACCTCCAGTTTCAGCCCATGCCTTGGGAAAAGCTGATAACCACTGTTTCATATTTTCAGATGGGGGAGGAGGGGGTTGTTGGTGGAGTCTATACTCATCTTCTAGGTTTACAGTCAACACTTGAATAGGTTGGCCCCTACTGTCCATAATGGTTGCCCCTCCTTTTTGAAAGTGGATTTGTGCTCCTATTTTGGTTAGTGTATCTCTCCCAAGAAGTGGATAGGGGCATTCTGGAATTACCATGAATGAGTGGGATACCCGAACCATGCCGAGATCCACTGTTCTTCGGGTAGTCCATGAGTATTGATTTGTTCCTGTAGCCCCCTGAACCCAGGAGGTTTTATTAGACAGTTTTCCTTGGGGTTTGAGTAAGACTGAATGTTGTGCCCCAGTGTCCACCAGGAAATCAATTGGAGTACCCTCCACTTTAAGGGTTACCCTGGGTTCGGGGAGGGGAACCGAACCCCGTCACCCCTAATCACTGAGTTCCCCCAATTCTAGTACTTTATTTAGTTTGTGGTTTATGAGTTCTTTTATTTGGGCACTCTTTTGCCCAATGTCCATTTTCCTTGCAATAGGCACACTGATTCTTGCCCAGTTTAGGGCGTCCTCCCGTGGGGGGGTCCCCCTTACCTCGGTATTTTGCGATTTTTTGCTGTTGTTGTTCTCTTTCTCGGATGCTCCCGGTTGTTGAGGCAAGCAAGATTTTTGCAAGGTTCCGAGTGCTCCGGTCACTGGCTGCTGCTAGTGCTTTGGCCTGTCGATCCTCTGGACTTTCCCTGTGATTATAAACTCTCTGCAACTAATATTAAATCCTGAATACTTTTTTCATTTAGTCTGTCAATTTTTTGTAATTACCTCCTGATGTCTGAGGCTGCTTGATTCACAAAAGCCATGATTAGTGCAGCCTTAGTTTCAGGCGCTTCCGCATTCATGGGGGTGTATTGACGAAATGCTGCCATTAATCTTTCTAAGAAAGCAGCAGGATTTTCATCCCTCCCTTGCTGTACGTCACCTACCTTAACCAAATTAGTGGGCTTCCTTGCGGCTGCCCTGAGACCTCCCATTAGAGTCTGACGGTACACCCGGGGTCTCTCCTTACCTTCAGTCATGTTGAAGTCCCAATTAGGATGAGTCAGAGGGAAGGTGGCATTAGTCATATCTATATTAGTAGTGGGTTGTCCGTTATCCCCCAGAACAGATTTCCGGGCTTCCATCTGGATTCTTTCACATTCCTCAGTGGTGAACAAAATCTGGAGTAGTTGTTGACAATCGTCCCAGGTAGGCTGATGAGTAAACAAAATAGTCTGTAGGAGGTCAGTTAAGTCTCTGGGATTATCTGAGAATTTAGCATTCTGTACAGGTCACTAGTGGCGAAGGGCCAATAGTGAAGTTGCTGGTTGCCAGCTGCGTCTGCGGGTCCTGCGGCCTGCAACGGTAAGTCTGTGGAATCTGCTGGTCCACTAGAGGGCGCTGCGCGCTGCATTCTTCCACGGGTGCCGGCTGCCGGACCTGCTGCTGCTGCCATTGCCCCACTATCGTCCGGAACTTGGGGCAGCGCACCCTCTGCAGCTGCAGTACCTGCTGAAGGGGCTTGATAAGGAGGGAGAAAAAGGAGTTCTTCCTCTGTCCCACCCTGGAATACTGGGTGGGTCGGTGCCGAAGGTTTAATTTCAGGTTCCTTCTTCTGGGCAGTATGAGTTTGTGCTGCCAGGACAGTTTTAGGTGCCTGCTTAGGAAGAGAAAGAGGTAATAACGGCTTTAACCAGGGAGGTGGATTTTCCACTAAATCCTGCCATGTGGTAATATATGATCCCTGGTCTAGGTGTCCCCAGCTGGACCGGAACACAACCTAACCTCTTTTACCTTTAAAATAATTTGGAGATCAAACATACCCTCGGCTGGCCACCCTACATTGAACGTAGGCCATTCTGAAGTACACAGGGTTACAAGTTCTCCTTTTTTTATTTCTAAACTTAAATCATGTGCTCTTTGTCTAACTTCTTTAAAGTTACCGGTCAAAAGAGAAAGAGGAGTCGTCATAGTCTGTCCCATCTCATCCGTCCACCAAATCACAAACACTAACAGACAACAAATACACACACAAAAGGACGAACAAAGAATGCCTCCCACAGATTGGAAGCAAAACCGAAAATGGGACGACGGCCTCACACTGTGCCGTGGGAGTGACCCGCTTCGTCCTTTTGCAAGTTCCAGGTTGGAGGGTTACCTTGTTTCCTCCCAGGCCGAGGGGATTCTTAACTTCCCTCTAAATGGGGTCCTGGAACATCTTCCAGGTCCCCTGCTGACAGCTCGCCTGTGTGTCCACTTAAGCCAAAGTCAGCCTCACAGAAAATGGGCCCCAGGTATAACTTAAAAGACTCAACAAACAAATATTAAACATTTAAACACCAGCTAGCTGCAACCCACTGGGTCGGGAGTCCTGGGGTATCTGGGGATCCCGGACGAGCCCCCAAATGTTATGCCCAGTTCTTGAATCCCCAAAAACCACCAAGGAGCCGATTCCACTGCAAAAGTATAGGGGTTGTTTATTCAAGCTTGAGCTCGGACGCTCAACTGTCACCGACGCAGCGGTTCAGGATTGAGAGCCCTGAACTTAGGGGAAGGGGGTCTTTTATCGGAGATGGAGTAGGAACAGGGAAGTTTCAATCAGAGAATTAGAGGATTGGTTGACATTTTTCAAGTTGCGAGTTGTTCCTGCTTGATTGGCCGTTTCTAGCTATTTTAGGTATTGGAATTTCAAGTATTTTCCTGCTATTTACTGATTGGTTGTTGCTAGGGGGTATCTATGGGGTGAGGGTAATCAGGACTTCAGGTTCTTCTCTACTATTTACTGATTGGTTGTTGCTAGGGGAAATAAAGGAGGGGAGGGGGGTTAGGACTCTGTGTGGTTGAGCCCTGAGGCGTGGGGAACCTGCTGGAGTTCCTTACACTAATGTCTTCTTGCTAAAAAAATGATTGCCTGCTGGGCATTTGTAAGCGTGTGGTTTCACACTGTAACAACACCACATATCATATTGAGAGTATTGAGATCAAGAAATCATCAGAAGTATAAAAAGATAAACCAACCATTTTCCATTGGTGAAGTAGCAGTGCATGTAATAAGTTTAGAATCACATTACAGCCTGTTGCAGTAGTGTTTCTCAACAGAGGAAGTTTTGTTCCCTCCTCTTCTTCCCCAAATGTTCCTATGAATTCTACAGAAGTCTGGATATCTGTATTTTGCTCTAGGCACAAAAGCACAAATGTCTCCAGGATGTCATGTGTCATACTGTGTCACACTAACAAATTCTGAATTTTATTTGTTAATTGGTTTTGTGGTTGTTGCGAGTTACTGCGTTTTAGTGATGTGAATGGGTTATAGATTTTGCAGGTTTATAAAATAAAGAAACTACCAAAGACATTGCCAAAGAAGTAATTCATATGGATAATTTTATTAAATTATTTGGTTATTCTCTTTTGATTTAAAGGAGTTGGAGTTGTACGAAGAGGAACTTCAAACAAAACCTGCACTTCTGGCAGTTAATAAAATGGATTTGCCAGATGCCCAAGATAGATTCCATGAACTGATGAACCAACTCCAGAATCCTAAAGGTAAACCCAATTCATTCATTTACTGCATATGCAATGAAGATCTACTATGTGTTGAGATGGCTGTGGAGGAAAAAGGCACCTGCAGTTTGTATTCTTAAAAAACACTTATGTTTAAAGAAAGAATATATACCATATGAAACATTTAAGTAACATTGTAACATAATAATTGTTCCAGAATGTGGATATGGTGGTAAATTAGAGGAGAAAAGAGGTAGGAAAGATTATTAAGAGCTAAAAATCTTGGTCTTCAGAAAGAAGTAAAACTTAAACTGGGCTCTTAAAGAGTGGGTGGGATTTGGATAATAGGAAAAAGTCAGCATCTACCTGTGAAGTATTTCAATTTAATTAACATATTTCACAAGTTTATAGAAGTTCTAGTTCCCCTAACCTGTTGCCATGGGGTCAGTTCTGACTAGTCATGACCTTATAGGACAGGGTAGAAGTTTCCATAGGGTGGCCAAGGCAGTAATCTCTTACAGAAGTAGATCACCACATCTTTCTCCTGCAGAGTGGCTGGTGGGTTTGAACCCTTAGTTGGTGGCTGAGCATTCAACCACTGTGCCACCAGGGCTCCTTCTGTTTCCCCTCTAAAGAAAACCCAAGGAAGGATCGCTATAAATCAGATCCAACTCGACGGCAGTGAGGTTTTGTTTTTGTTTTTGTTTTTTTAAAATAGCATCAGTGATGATAAGCCAAAACTTTAGAAATGGTAAAGGACTCCTGTGTATTGACTGAGGCAAGCTGGACTGTCCCAAATTAAAAGTAGTTACATATATATTTTCTTATAGAAATATTCTTCTAAAGATTCTATGATGCTTTACCACATTGAGCCAAAAAAAAAAAAAAAAAAAGCAAAAAAGACTGCTTTTGTAAGTAAATAATCTCTAATTCATCTACTGTTTATCATCAATTTTGTTTGAAATATATTCATCCAGTAGTGGTTTACTAAGCACCTATCATGTATCCCTAGGTGGTACAAACAGTTAATGAATGCACTTACTGCTAACTGAAAGGTTGAAGATTCAGGTCCACCCAGAACCACTTCACAATAAGGGACTGGATATCTACTTCCAAAAATATTAGCCATTGAAAAGCTTCTGCAGCACACTTTTATTCTGACACATACGGGGTTGCCCTTTGTCATAATTGACAACAACTCACGGTGGCAGTGGATCATGTGGCAGGACTCTTACTACTGACACTAGTAAGTGAAATCCAAAGGTTCTGAGAGTGTATTAGAGAAGAAAAAAAGGAATTAAAAATGCCGTTGCCTGGTTCACAAATCTGACCTTTAATGTAGCTTTGGCTTACTTTCAAAACAAAGAAAATTAGCTGAACTTTGTGTTCTTCGTTTCAGATTTCCTGCACTTGTTTGACAAAAACAGGATTCCAAAGAAGACTATGGAGTTCCAGCATGTCATTCCAATCTCTGCAATTACTGGAAAAGGAATTGAAGAATTAAAGAACTATATAAGAAAATCACTGGATGAACAAGCCAACCAGGAAAATGATGCCTACCTTAAAAAACAGTTGCTTAACTTAAGAATATCTAATACAGCATCTTATAGTGAGCCACCGTCAAATCATGTTATTAGTATTTCCTGAATGGATATAATTTAAATCTATTCAAAATGATATGAATTTATGTCAGTTTGAAGTTTTTCACAGATGTGTATTTTTTTAGTATAATTACCAATTTCCTGATGTGTATACCATCATAGAAAAATGATAACCTTTTTAGGCTGTTCTATGTGATTACAGAAGTCAACAATAACAACAAATGGCAGTTTATAAGTTTATGGTCAATCCACCTATTAACTACCTATAATAACATCTAGCATTCCTTTATATATATTTCTGTTGAGATCATTTTTAAGAATTACATAAAAAGATTTCCTAGAGAAAGGTTTATCTATTGAAGGAAATTTTCTTTGTTGGTTACCAAGGGTGGGAGGGGAGGGGAGGGAAAGTTGTTAGATAGAGATAAATATTGATTTGGGTGAAGAGGGCAATGTACCAAATGTGAGTGACCAATATGGCACCATTGAGGATGAGAAAGACATAGAGGTACCTGGGAAGTACAGACAACAAATATGAACCCTTTTGCATATACAGTACTGATTTCTCAGTGAAGGCAAACAAGGCGTATATGGATGGATAGATAGGTGGACAGGCTAAACGATTAGGTATGTCTATGAAATGGGGAGTGTATCCAAGATCATATATAGGGTTGGCAGACAGTGGTCCTGTAAGTTTATGTGAATGATCAGAATTCCCAGGTGTATAGTAGAGCTGACAAGGGTCAAGGTTGTGGTCACTGCTTGGTCACAGCCAGCTACCCAGAGAGTCCGAGTAGTTGAACCTGTGGGCTTGGGACCATAGTCGCAGGGGACATCAAACTCAATTGGCATAACATACTATACAGAGCATTGTTCCACCTTCTACTTTGGCGAGTAGCGACTGGGATCTTAAAAGCTAGCAAGCTGCCATCTAGATGCAACGATGGGTCTCTCTTCATCAAGAGCAAAGAATAAAACCAAAATTAATGGAAACAATCAGTCCTAGTGACTGGCACACCATCCGATCTGCAACCTATACAACTATGAGACCAGAAGAACTAGATGGTGCCCGGCTACCACTGTCATCCACTTGGAAGGGATGTAGGAGATCCTGGATAGAGAGGGAGAACAATGTGGAACAAAATTCAAAATCATTTGGAGGGAAAAAAAAAAAAAGATGGTTGGGACCAGGTTTGTTGGTCCAATAGAGCCTGGTGTAACCACTGAGACTATGGCCCCTAGCTGCCCTTCAGGTCTGGAATTGAAGCCACACCTGTGGTTTCCAGCCAAACAAAGTACAGGCATGTGAGTTAAATATTTACCTCAAGTAGACACACGCCCTGGAGAGAACAATCATGGGAGAAGGAAGGGCTGCTTATGCACAGGGAGACAGCTCAGGGGGCAGGAGAGTACGGAGGGATGGACACTGGGAAGAGGTAACTATGGGGAGGAAGTGGGAGGGGAGTTGTTGCATTGTGGTAAACTGTGGCCAATGACATGCGACAAAGTATATGTGAACTGCTGTATGGAAAGCAAATTTACTCTGTAAATCTTCACCCAAATCACAATAAATAATAATAATAATAAAAGATTTCCTAGAATATTAGTAGAATCAGGAGCTAATACTTTTTATATTTAGTCTTTCACAGTATCTGGTTCTCTTATAATAGTTCTGTTTTTAAAAAAATCTCGAAACTCTAAACTTGAATTTACATTCATTGATAACCAAGATCACTGTTAATATTTAATAGAAATCAGCAGTAGGGATTTGTGATATGAGAGTTTAGAAAGAGTTTTCTTTCTCCAGTTTAATAGTATTTTTTCTCTCTTGCACTGGAAGAGACTAATATATATGTGCTCCTTTCCTGCTTCATTATCTCACTAGGTATTTTAATAGAATAAACAGAAAGTGCAGACTTTAGTCATCATTCTCTTATTCTCTCTTCCCCCAATTTTTTTGGTAACAGCTTTATTGAGCTGTAATTCATCTGCCATACAATTCATCTAAGGAGTTCTGGTGGTACTGTGGTTAAATCACTGGACTGCTAATCAAAAGGTGGTTGGTTCAAACCCACCAGTCGCTTTGCAGGAGAAAGATGAGGCAGTTGGCTTCTGTAAAGATTTACATCCTTGGAAACTGTAACCCAGGGGGGAAAAAAAATTCACTGCCATCAAGTCAATTCTGACTCATAGCAACCCCCATTGGGTTTCTTTCTTTTTTTTTTCAAATTATGATTTGTGTGAAAGTTTACAGAGCAAATTCACCTCCCATACAGCAGTTCACATACACTTTGTCTCATGACATTGACTACAATTTACCCCAATACAACAGCTTCCCTCTCACTTCCTCACCATAGTTACCTCTTCCCTGTGTCCTTCCCTCCATGCCCTCTGCCCCCTGAGCTGTCTGGGTGTACATACACAGCCCTTCTATTCTGCCATGATTGTTCTCGCCAAGTGTACCTACCTAGTATAAATGTTCACCTCATATGCCTGTCTTTTGTTCGGCTAGAAGCCATAGGAGTGTGTTCAATTCTAGATCTGAAGAGCAGCTAGGGGCCATAGTCTCAGTGGTTCCATCAGGCTCTAGCAGACCAGCAAACCTGGTCCCCCCGCCCAAATGATTCTGAGGTTTGTTCCATATTGTTCTCCCACTCGATCCAGGATCTCCTACACAGATCCCCCTCCGAGTGGTTGACAGTGGTAGCTGTGCACCATCTAGTTCTGGTCTCATAGTCGTATAGGCTGAGGATCACATGGTGTACCAGTTGTTTGGAGTAATTGTTTCCATGAATCTTTGGTTTTCTTCTTTGCTCTGGACTATGAGAGACCCAATCATTGCACCTAGATGGCTGCTTGCAAGCTTTTAGGATCCCAATCACTACTCGCCAAAGTAGGAGGTGGAACAATGTTTTGTGCAGTATGTTATGCCAATTGAGCTTGATGTCCCCTGCGACTATGGTCTTGAGCCCACAGGTCCAACTACTCACTCCCTCTTGGTAGCTGGCTGTGGCCAAGAAATGTCTACAACCTTCCCTTGTCATCTCTACTATACCCCTGGGAATTCTTACAGAACATACCAATAGACTTGTAGAAACATTGTCAATCCTTTATATGGTCTTGGACACACTCCCCCATGCATGTTGTTGTTGTCGTTATGTGCCGTCGAGTCATAGACATACCTAATAGTTCAGCATGTCCAACAACCATCTATCCACCTGTATATCCATGTTTGCCTTCACTGACGACACAGTACTGTATGTGCAAAAGGGTTCATGTTTGTTTGTACCTCCCATGTACTTCTCTATGTCTTCCTCTTCCTCAGTGCCACCATATTGATCACTCACATTTGGTACACTGCCCTTCTCTTCACCTAAATCAATACTTGTCTCTACCTATCTAACAATGTTTCCTTCCCTCTCCTCCCACCCACATATAAACCTTTCCTTGACTTTTTACAATAACGGACTAATACATTATTTGTCCTTCTGTAATTGACTTATTTCACTCAGCATAATGTCCTCCAAGTTCCTCCACATTATGTGGTGTTTTGCAGATTCTGTGTTATTCTTTGGGATTGCATAGTATTCTGTTCTGTGTATGTGCCATAATTCGGTTATCCGTTCTTCAGTTGATGGACAGCTACGTTGTTTCCATCTTTTTGCTATTGTAAATAGTGCTGCAATGAACATGGGTGTGCATATGTCTGTTTTCGTCCTGACTCTCACTTCTTTAGGATATATACCTAGTAATGGAATGACTGGGTCAAATGGTATTTCTAATTCCAACTTTTTAAGGAATCGCCATACTGTTTTCCACAATGGCTGTACCATTTTACAGTCCCCCTTGGGTTTCTGAGGCAGTAAATCTTTACAGAAGTAGATTACTCCATTTTCCTTTCACAGAGCAGTTGGTGGGTTTTGAGCCACCAACCTTCTAGTTAGCAGTCAAATGCCTTAGCCACTGCACCACCTTTACGGGGCAGCTCAACTCTGTCCTGCAGGGTTGCTATGAGTTGGAATCAACTCGATGGCAGTGGGTTTGGTTTTTGGTTTTTATGGAATAAATTACTGAAACAAGCCCAGAAATTTTGTTTGAGTACATGGTCTGTGCTGGTAATCAGAATAGCTAACGTAATGATGTTACTATATGCTGTGCACTGTGTTGAGGGTTTTGTTTACAGGCAGTTCCCTGGTTAAGAATGGAATCCATTCCTAAGTGTGTCTTTAAGTCGAATTTGTAAGAGTTGGAACGAGTCATATGGTTCTTATTTAGCATTACTGTTCCAGAAAGAAGCCCTAGTGGTGCACTGGTTAAAGGCTTGGCTGCTAACTGAAAGGTCAAGAGTTCAAACCCAGCAGCCACTCCACAGGAGAAAAATGGGGAAGCCTTGGAAATCCTATGGAACAGTTCTACTCTGTGTTTTAGGGTTGCTTCGAGTCATAGTCATCTTGATGGTGATGGGTTCTAGTGCAAGAAAGGGCTCAAAGTTTTTTCAGTAATTTAAAATCATCACATGCAGCAAGTAAAGATGATTGTGATGAAGAATTCGTGGCAAGTGGGGGTTGGTTCAATCATTTCTAAATGAGAACAAATATATATAACATTAAAGTGCAAGTGTGAGTTGTCTGTAAGTTGATTGTTTATAACATGGGGACTTAACTGTATATCGACTCATTTAAGTACTATACTATGTTGACTCTTCATAAGTTATTATTTCTTATGGTGAGTCATAGGTACATGGGTGTGTGTTTGTTTTTACCTTTTTGAATGTCTAAAGTATTTTAAAATTTAAAATATAAAACAGAAAGAAGGAAAGTCTTTGCTTTATAAAAGTTTAAAACTCAGATGAAGCCAATGAGCTCAACATAATTAGCATAAAATGTTAGTAGACAACATGTTATAATTTTATTGCAAGGTTAAATAACAAAAAATAAGCATCTTTTTTTTCTTTCTTTCTTTTTTAATCTAGATATTTCAGAGGGGTGTTTTTTTGTTTGCAAGTTTGTTTTCTAATTGGAGCTTGGCAGTTAAGGGGAAGTATCC